AACACTTCTCCCATCCGTGCGTTGGGTCTGCTCAGAAGGCACCTCCAGACGGGTGCACGGTGTGTGCCTCCACGTTCATCAGTCCAGACACAGCTCCCCAGCCCAGGGAGGGAGGTCTCAAGTAGGAGGTAAGAGGCCATTGTGCAGCCTCAGGAACTAAGATCACTATAATGATAACATCTAATATTTACACACTCAATGTGTGCTAGGCTTTCGAATAAGCACTTTACACAGCATTTAATCCTCGCCACAAACCCATGTTTGTAATTCTCATGATAGAGGTGAGAAACTGAGACCCAGAGAGGTGGAATAACTTGCCCCGGGGACCCCAGTAAAATAAGGAGGATTCTGGGAGACCAGGCAGTCTGGCTGCAGGGTCCGCTCCACTGGGCTGCCTCTGGAGGTGGGATGAGGAACAGCATGGAAAGCAGCCCACTCCAACACTGCTTCCCCCCCACACCCTGCCTCTGAGGCCAAGAGCGGGTGGCATGCCAGGGCAGGCTCGCCAGCGATTTCTGCTCTAAGAGTCATCACAAGAACGTCACGAGAGCCCTGTGACTGCCACCACTTCACCCACTGAGTCACTCATTCCTTCGCTGAGCACTTCCTGAGCATCTCTGGCAAGCCCCACGATGGCACAGGCCATGCAGGCGTGTCTGAGACACGGTCCCCTGTCCTCACAGGGGTGGGAAGTGCCTGTGAGGGCAGGGCCATGTGTTTCCTGTGCACCACCGTGTCTCTAATCTCCCAGCACGAGTGCATGACAGAGGTCTGCTGAAGGAATGGATGAATGAATACAAAAATCAAGGAAACTATTCCACAGAAACCCAGGAGGAAAAAAAGCCCATTTTAAAAAAAGTACCTACAGGTAATGATGCACATACCAAATTCTGATCTATATGTTCATTCTGCAAAAACAATGGGATGTTAGCAGTTTCAGAATTAGCATTCTCCTACTCTGTTTCCCTAGACAAGCAACACTATCTGCTCCGCATTAGAATTACGGCAAGAATGATCCCTTAGCAGGAACCATATGATTCCAATGCACAGATGAGTTTCAATTAGACATTCATCTAACCATGCTGATGTGTTTTCCATTTAACCCTAAATTATAGTCCTTTCAAATAACTGTGATCTCCCCTCTGCTTCTTTCTCTTCAATTTTGGTTTGGTTTTGTGAAAGGTCTGCTGGTAAAAATGAAGCAATACCAGTAACTTATCTACAAATTACGGGAAGGAGAAAGTAGGTTAAAAAAGACCAAGAAACTTAAAGCAAGTATGATCAAACCACATCCGAGTTGGGCAGGAAACAATAGGAGACTGTTCTCACTCACAGGGAAGGAAGGTAAATCTCACCAGGACTATTGTCAAACAAGTCGTAGACAAGATTCACCTTGAGCTCTTCCTGAATCTCAACTGTAGTCATCAGAATACAACCGACTGCGATTTGGCACCCGGAGAAAGGCAGTAACCAGAAGTAGAAAGCTGACACTTACAATTCCCTCCACACTGGAGTCTCGTTTTCAGTTCAGGCATCCTCTACCATCAGCAGCTGTGTCCCAAAGGCAGTATGTGTGTCTCTCACAACACAGGTGGGACCTTCGTCCCGAGAAGAGGCCATTGGAAGAAAGGACAGATCTCCCGAACACTCGCTCCTATTAGACAGTTCAACTAAAGTGGGTATCTTAAGCTGAGAGGTCGCCAGTAACCTTCTACAATTTGCTTTTGCTCAAACTGAAAACCCCAGGTATCTATGTCAATATCCTGCTTGTGATATTGTACCTAGAGTTTTGCAAAATATTACCGCTGGGGGAAGCTGGGGAAGGTCTCTGTATTGTTTCTTACATCGGCATGCAAATCTATTAATTTTTTCAGTTAAAAATTCAATTAAAAAAACTGCATCTTGACGGATAAGTGGATAAAGAAAATGTGGTATATACACACAATAGAATATTGTTCGGCCTTAAAGGAGAGGGGAATTTTGACACATGCCACAACATGGATGAGCCTTGAGGAAATTATGTTAAGGGAAATGAGCCAGTGACAGAAAGACAAATACTTCATATTATACTTACATGAGGTATCTGAAATTGTCAAACTCATGCAGAGAGCGGAATGGTGATCGCACAGACTGAGAGAGGGAAAGTGGGGAGTTGTTGTTCAAGGGGTATAAAGTTTCAGTTATGGCCGGGCGCAGTGGCTCACGCCTGTAATCCTAGCACTCTGGGAGGCCGAGGCGGGCAGATCGTTCTGAGCTCAGGAGTTCAAGACCAGCCTGAGCAAGAGCGAGACCCCGTCTCTATCAAAAAATGGAAAGAAATTAATTGGACAGCTAAAAATATATGTAGAAAAAATTAGCCGGACATGGTGGCGCATGCCTGTGGTCCCAGCTACTCGGGAGGCTGAGACAGTAGGATTGCTTGAGCCCAGGAGTTTGAGGTTGCTGTGAGCTAGGCTGAAGCCACGGCACTCGCCCTAGGCAAGAGAGTGAGACTCTGTCTCAAAAAAAAAAAAAAAAAGTTTCAGTTATGCGAGTGGCTCCGTAGCGCAGTGCATAGTGAATTAGAACTTCTAAAGTTTCAGTTATGCGAGACGAGTGACTTCGAGAGATCTGCTGGACAGCCCTGTGCCTACAGTCAACAGTAACATATCACACATGTAAAAATGTGTTGAGGGTAGATCTCCGTTTAGTGTACTTACCACAATTTAAAGAACCCTGCAAACCCCAGAACCCCAACGGTCTCTGCGTTTATCTCTTAGGGCACCGCGTCTAACTTTAGCACTGCCCCGGGTGTCTTACAGGAAAAGAATCTGTGCTGAAGCCCTAGCAGCTGTCTTGGGGTCTGGAAAATCATATGGGGAAAAAAAAAAGAGTTCAAAGGGACCCAATACATCTCAAACAGTTCTTAACATAAATGCTGTGTCTGTTAGCGGTGGGCTGGGTGTGGACAGGGCAAATTTAATGGCAAACATGTGCCTCAGATGGGGGTGGCCTCTGCAATGCGTCCTGTAGAAACACATGCATAAAGGGGACCAGACCTTCTGACTGTTCAAGAGATTCCAGAAATCTGGACTTTTCTTTCTAAATCTTAATGTTGGTGATTCATAAAATCGTCTTTTAAACATGGTGAAGAACAAACCAAACAGGTCTAGGGCCAGTTTGCAACCTGTTGGGCACTTCAGATACATGTTCTCCGCATTCTCCCAAAGGCTCTGCAGCGCAGGGCCTGCTCTCCCTGTATTTTAAATGGGGAGAAACCACTCGCCCAAGGTCACCCAGCTGGCGGGGTGCTCGGCAGCTCTCACCAGAGGCCCAGCTGGTTCTGCTGACTCAGCATCGTGCTACTTAACACTCATTTAGCAAATGCTCATTTAAGAAAGTTGCAGAGGAGTATCTCCAGCTCCATAAACACTGAGTCAGCTGCACATTTTCCAGACCACGTGTCGTCATGAGATGGACCACCAGGAGAGTCTTTGTGTTCAACAAGTCACCCCTGTCACCTCCAGGTTAAATCTCCTCACCAAACACTTCTTCCCTTGAAAGCACTTGAGCTAGGACATTTATTTGCATATTTGATCCATATCTGTCTCTCCACTGGTCTCTAAAGCTCCAATATGACAGAGACTATTTATGATTTTGTATATCCTCAGAACCAGCATGATGCCTGGCCCAAAGAAAGAGTTCAATAAACACTTGGTTCAATGAAATCAAGAAAGGGATAGGCCAGACAGGGGCCATGAAAAGGCCCCATTCAATTCCGCTGAACTAATGCCACCATCACCAAGGACAGAAAGTTTCTGGGAACTTTTTCAGAGGCTCTCATGCTCCCTTGAATAGCAAAATGGCCTGGCCAGACCATTGTACACCAAAAATCCAGAAGGGCAGGGCCTCTTGTGATTGTGCTCGAGGCAGTGGTAACCTTCTACCTCCAGGGTCACACCCCACCGGCTCGTCCAGGGATGGCAGCAGCGTCTACCGCACCAGGGCAAGCCGGCCCTTTTACCAGCGCAGCTGCGGCCTGAGCACCTGGCTGCAGAGACGGACCCCTAGGAAACAGCCTTTGCACAAAGCACACTGTGCTCATCTCTGACACATATGCCAAGCCCATGCTGCAGCCAATATGATGACAGGAGAGGTGCCTGCCATAAGGAGCTTAGAGTGGGTAAGATCCTTGAAAGAGAACCAGCCACAGTGGCCTTCTGGGCTGTGGGTATGGTAAGGGTGCAGAGGCAGAAACCCAGGGCATGCTGGGGGAAAAGTGAGTTGCACCAGACCTAAGGCAGCCCGGAGCTCAGGATGGCAGGAGGGATGACAGCAAAGATATACAGGGGCAAGCTGGGAAAGCCTCGGGGGAAGGCACAACACTGGCCATCAGGTGCTTTCTTTCGATAGTGTACAAAATGCAACTCCAAGGCTCCTATAGACCTCAATATGCTCCATTTAGTCCAAAGTTTGCCGATAATTTAAAACTAGAGATCATAGATAAAAATGCAGATTTCCAGCTTCTCTGGAAACATGAAAATATCTGGCAATACTACATCCATGTTCCTAAATAATGACTGCAGGCTGGAGTGGAACAGCAACCGTTCACAAAGGAAGAACTTGCCAGAATTTGCCACAGTCCCCCCACTCCCTGCTGCTCTCGCCCAGGGCCTGCATCATTCATAGATGTTCACTGCCCAACCTCTGCAGAGACTGGTGCCTTGGACAAGGCATTCTCTCATTCTGTTCCAATAACAATGTCTCACAGATATACAATCTGAGGCTCAGAGTGGTACAATTCCATGCTTAATAACACACCACCGACCAAATCCACGGTTACTACCTGACCCCAGATTTTCCCAGGTATGCATTTCAAGACTGTTTAGGTTCCTTGAATCCCAGACCAGCTGACGCATCATCATTCTGTGTAAGCAGAATGCTAGTTTCTGATTTTAGAGAAACTCAAAGCAATGGCTTCTCATCAAGGTTGGAAAACCGTCCCAAAGCTAATGACTTACAGAACTTCTCTGAACATCCTGTTCAGTCTTAGCGTACATCTCAGAGAGATCACCATTCAGAATGACGTCAGCTAACGAGTTCACCAGCGGTGCATGGTGTATAATTAGGAAGACCTGGTGAAAAAGAAGAAATGCGATTTGCATTCAAGGGTACAGTCTTTCAACCTCTTCCTTCCCCGATCAGAAACAACCAGGCGGGGCTATATGAGGCCCATATTAAGCAGCAATTCCTGTGATGCAAAATGCAAAGAACGGGTCCTATTTAGCCGAAGTCAGTTACATTCTTCTTCTAAGGTTGGCCTCCCCTTCAGACTGTTGCCTATTTGGCTGACTGCTCTTCCTCAGAAGGAAGTGCATTAATGCAAGACTGTCCCTTGTGGCTGGGTGAAGCCAAATCTGGCTGAAGTGGAGCAACGCGGGAAAGGAACAGCCAAACCAGCACACTCTTTCCTTTCCACAGGCATTTTAGTGTCAAATTCGGTTATGAAAAGACTAGAAGGCATCGCCCCAACATTTTAGCTATATAGAAAGAGGAGCTGGTGAGTTTTGTGCCAATCAAGGACTTGGCAAAGGGTCAGCTATGGAGAGATTTCATCACTGGGAGGAGTTCTGACCCCTGCAGCGGGTTTTAGCGCACCGGGATTCCATGGTAGCGTTGGTAAGGGTGGAAATTGTGGGGGAAGAAAAGCCGCATAAGCCAGAAGCAGTCATGCCAGGATGCAAGGTCAGGGCTCTGTGCTGTCCAAGCTGGCCCTGCTACCCCACCCTGTTGCCCAGTGTTCAGAGGAACAGCTTTAGGAACCAGGGTATTCAAAACTGCCTTGCAAAGCTGGCCCAGACACACCTGCTATTTTGTTTTAAAATGTAAAGGCAACAGGGTGTAGCACAGTGTAAGGTGTATCGACCATCTGCATGTGAAAAGAGTATGAGTGCACGTATTTGTTTGTTTATATATGCACAAAACAGGGTTTCTCAATCCCGGCACTACTGACACTTGGGGCTATAAACCTATGTCACAGGAGGGTGTCCTGTACACTGCAGGCCGGCCAGCAGCAGCCCTGACCCTCACCCACTAGATGCCAGTAGCACCCCCTCCCTCGGTCATGACAACTAAACACATCTCTGGACCTTGCCAGATATCCTCTGGGGTGGGGGAGAGAAGAATCACACCCAGTTGGAAACCCCTGGCAGAGATATCTCTGGAAGGACATATGAGAACCTATAAATCTGGGGATAGAAATCAGGAGCCTGAACTAAACTAGAAAAGAAATCTAGTTGTTACTTATTTGAATTGTTTAACTTTAAAAACTGTTTTTATTAAAAAATAAATATTGTTTTAAAAAAAAAAGTACAGGCAGAAATTAACACGGGCTGCCTCAGGAGAATGAGGCTGAGTGCCCAGGGGAAGCGTAAGAGGGAGACTTTTTCCCATGTCATGTTTTATACTGTTTGAACGCGGGGAATATACTATTCAAACAAATAAATACAGTTCAAATTAAGTAAAAGGTACAGGCAGAATAGCCAAGTATGGCACCTACCTTAAAAAAAAAAGTGCATCTGTTTTTAAAATACCCGGGAGACCTTTGCTATCATAGAGGCCGTGTGGCATGATCCGATGAGTTAGCCCTCGTCCAGGATTGTGGCAGGCACCCAAACGTCAGCGATGATGATGACAATGTTACGGATTTTTCTCACCTCATCATGTCCCAATTACTGCCACACTTCACCAAGCAAAACCCCAATCACTGAGTTTATTCATTCCATAAATACCTATCATGCACCTTGTATGAATGTGGCCTCAACTGATCACTGATGCATTCTTTTACTCGGTCCACAAACTTTCACTGAGCACCTATCGCCCTGGATAAAAGCCAACCAATTCCTCCTGTGGACACACAAAGTGCTCATTTTCCTGGCTTTGAACTGGGAACAAGGGGAAGAGCGGGTCACTGCAGGGCACGTGGAAGTGAGCGCACACCAGACTCAAAGAGCTCGGTCAGCTGCCCGTACCACGCTCTCGCTGTGAGCAACGCTTTAGTTTTAGGAGGACGGCGTCCCTGGTTACACTAAATTATGTCGTCACTGTGAATTTTCATGGTTTGGGAACTGTGCTTGTAAAATAACTTGAAAGTGTTCATCGATTTTATCGTGAGGTAGGCACTTTAAGGACACGGGATTTATACCCGACTGTAGGTTTCACACATTTAGGTCATGATATAACTAAGTTAAATGAAAATATGCAGGGGGAGGAAGGATTCGAGATTTTTTGTCTTTAAAAGGGATTTTTACAAGTTTGAGGAACGCCAAATTATAAGCTATACTTTTTGTGAGATAGTGAAACAAGTAATTATGTGCCGGGGCTATTGGTCCTCCAAGAAGAAAACAGGAGAAAAAGTTCTCAGAGAAAAGGAATAATCCCTCTCCACTAAAGAACCTACGTGGAGGTTTGGCAGCCGTGCTGCCAGGAGGAGACCCTGCCTGCAATGCTCCAACAGCTGAAGCGTCCTGAGGACGCTTTCTTTCCACGTGACTCCCGGGGCTAAGCAACTGGCCTGCTCAGGTCCTGCCAGACTCCCAGAATCCCAAGCAGGAGATGCTGGCAGACTCGTAAGGAGGCAGCAGAAAGCTTTGCCAGGAGAGGCTGGAGTTTGTACTGCGCCCCGCTGCACAGAGGGGCATTCAGACAGAGCCGGCACAGTGCACAACTCTGAGCAAACAAGAGCCCCCAGAACAAGACTCCAGGAAGTGAGCAGTGGTCAGGCCACGTCCGCCTCGGCCAGCCCACTGGCGGGAGGCGGCCTCTGCATCTCTCTTCTCAGGCCAACGGGAGACAATCCTGCCCCAAACTTGAAACAGCTGGGGATTAAGTCAGAAGGACAGTCTCTCATCAAAGCAAATAAATACCTGTGCCACTACAGAAGTGGGAACAGAGCTCTGGTCAAATGCTTGACTACTTGACAGTCTAATGAGATGGCCTGAGAGTCTGGACTGCTTGTAATAAAAATATTTTTAAAGTTATGTAACTGGGTCACCATGGAGTTTTTCCCTTCTTGTAAATATTACATAATTATAAGAAGGAAACACACTTGTTTAAGGAGGAGAGGCAGACAAATTGGCTCAAGACACAAATCTGGGAGCTGAGGCTGCTACAAGAGACCTTCCAGAAGGTAATCTGGGAACTAGGACCACAACAAAATCCTTTAAAAATAGCCTCATTACAGGAAGTTTGTCAAACCAAGGATGCTGTGTGTATATATGCTGCAGGCCCTGCAGTTCTGGGGTTATTTCAAAGTACTGTGAATCAGAGCCGTGCAGCCCACATTTCCAGGGTATTCAGGGCTTTCCTCAGTTGTTTTGGAAACCTCAGGCCTCATGGTAAAAATCAACTACACAAGCGCCAGGTTTAATTTATTTTACATTTCTCTTTAAATTTCCATCCCCTACCATAAAGAAGATATTAATATATACCACCTCTACTGAGTGTCTTCTCAAAAATAGAACACCCCTTTCTTTTTATTGTATCTCAAAATGGGGGACACACACAGAGAAGATGTGGCGATGGGGCCTGGGGATTTTCTATATGGCAGCAGCATTCCAAGGGACCCCAAATGTGATGGGGATACAGACGAATGACCAAACATACCTGTGACAGAAGATAGAGGGACACCGGCAGGCTGATTTTCGGTCGTTCTCCTCCCTAGTAAAGGTTGGGGGCAGGAGGAAAGAGAGGTCCAGGTCACACAAGTGAGCACCGTAAAATATAAGACGCCAAAAGCCATCTGTTTGAACAAGAGGCACCCTGTCCCTCTGACGTCCTCCATGGCCCTCAGGCTGCCCTTTCCTGGTGCTACTCAAAAGTCTGAATCCCACTCAATACTGTTGCAATGCCTCTATTTTCCACCTGAGAAATCTTTCACCATTAGTCATGGATTAGAGGGTAACTCAATAGAAGAACTTGCTCCTTAAGTTACCAAGAACATTCATTTCCCCCAGGTGGGGCAACAAAAGCCCCAGCAGGAGAGGCCCCTGAGGACTGTTCTCAGGAAGGCATTTTCAAAACATGGGGGAGGGAGACTCTGGGGCAGTCTGGCCTGGGAAAAGCCCCTCGTTCGTACTGAGTTTCAATATGCTCCATCTCACACCAACCCTATGAAGGAGGGAGCTTCGGGACCCTCATTTTACAGCCAAAGAAACAGGCTCAGGGAGGTTAACCACCTTGTCCAAGGTCACAGGGTTAGGAAAGGGAAGAGGCAGAATTTGAACCCCGGTCTGAAACCTCCAATTCCCATGCTTTGTCAATGCCTCCCAGAGCTGCCTCTACTTGAGCCAATGATGGTAGCAATTTTCTTTTATTTACTTATTTGTAGTGAGAATCCTCATGTTCCATCTCCCACAAGAAAACTGCATCCCCTTGGGGCACCTGTGTAGGGTGATCAGCTGGCTCTGTCCTGCCTCCTGCTGGGGCCTCTGCCATCCTTCTCTTGGCCCCCTTAACTCCGGAGGAACTGGACAGAGCGAGGCCTCCCCGCCCGGAAGCAGGGCTGCCCCTGCAAGATGCCCCTGCAGCTCAGAGTCCTGAGGGGCAGGCTAAGCGTGCAGATCCCCAGTCCCAGCCCAGACCAGTGTCCTTTGAAAGGAATCTCCCTCAGGCTCAAAACCTCGGTCCCTTGCAAAGCTCAGTCCCATTCAAGGTGGCTGTTCTTTCCCACTTTTGAAGACAGCCTGCGGCCAGCAGGAGTAATGGGGCCAGGCCCCATAGACGCACCTTGTCCTGGTTCTCCAGCGAGTACACGTACAGGGGCAGGAAGAGCCTGTTAAGCAGGTGGTCCGTGAGCACATCGTTGAGGAACTCACAGTTGATGATCAGGATGTCATTGAGATAGTGCAGGTGGTCCAGGTGCTCAGCCACCAGGTCGCTCAGTTTCCCCCGATTCCGGTGCCTGTCGAGAGAAACAACCACCTCAGCCTGGAGGATGAAGCTCGAAATCTTTGGGCCTAAAATCAGTGGCCTGAAACTTAGGTCACTGGGGGTTCACTCATACAACCACTATTTGAGCTGGTCTCAAGAGACACCTATCCTGGCCCCTACTGGGGAGATACACCAAGGGAAATGGACAGGTCTACTGCAGTCAATTTTAGGGGACTGCCAGGGTCCCCCTCGACCCTCTAGGGGCCTCAGTACCACCCCTCCCACCACCACAGCCTCCCCAAAATGGGATAAACAAAGCAAAAATCAGCTAAGCTCTTACAGCAAGCTACTGCACAAGAGTAGCCACTAGGCAATGTGGCAAGATGCCCCTGGCTCCCCAGATAAGCAGTATTAATGGAGCAATAAATCCTTGATAATTAAAATGCTCCAGAGGAGTTCTGAAGAGAGAAGCAGGCCTCAGCAGCCACGTTCCCCCAATAACACGCGGGACGCAGAGCAAGGACACAACATCCCTCGCCAGGCCCCTGCCCAGGCACGCCGGGTGGGGCTCTTGGGTGGAGTCACACTTTCGCCACCCCCAAAGCAGTATCTGTTGCAAAGAGCAATCTAGCTAGGGCAGGACATTTTGTTTGTACTATTATTATTACCCAAGTAATAGACTGTCATTTTAGAAAACAAAAAATTAAAGAAAAAAATAAAATCAAAAAGAAACCAAAGTCTCCTATAATCCCACTAACAGAAACTCACCATTAACATTTTGGGTCTTATGACCCTACAGTCTGTTTTTTCCACATTTTCACCTCTTTCTATAGTCGCTTCTAAAATACAAGTGTCACCTATTTAGCCATCTAACCATATATGCTTCTTTGAAAAAAAGTAAAAACAGGATCAATTTTGGTTTTTTTTACATAATTTTGGATAATTATTTCCTTTATGCTTTAATAAGATATTCAGTATTTATAGCAAACACATGTTGTATAGCCTAATAGTATAACGAGCACCTATGAACCCACCACGCACCTGAGACCCAGAACATTTAGACACCATGTTTTGCACTTCTTCTCCACTTAAGAAGATACTTTGGAAAATTTTCTTTATTGGTATAGTCCATGCACCTCATTTTTCAACACTTTAGCTTTAAAAATATCAAAGTAATACATGCAAATGGGTTTAAAACTCAAGATAGTATTGATAAGCTAATAAAAAATAGCAGCTCCATGGCCCAGCTTCCTCCACTTCTACCCGCTCTCCAGAGGAGGCAGATAACACTTCTAGTTGTTTCTGCAGATAGTCCCTCCCCTATTTCTGTAAAATCTGCATGGACTTCTATTTTGCAATTGAGCCATTTTGGATATTATCTATTGAACTCCAGTCACAACAGAACTCTTTGAGTTCCCTCTGCCCCTTCCCCTCCATGGTAATTGGGATTGATGTTCTCATAACGTTTACTGCAGAGCCAAATAGAGGACTATGATTTGATTTCCTTTCTTGTATAACTTTGTTCTTTCTGGAGGGAAGTGCCTCCTTATGTCTCATGTCCATGACCCTTCATATCCATAAGGGTTCTTATTTTCCCAAATGTCATTCAGATCTGCCATCGGTCTACCCTTGCTTCTTTTCCAACAGCAGATCTAATATTCTGTGTGTCTAGCTCCCCTCCCGCTAGGATCCCTTTACCGTCCTGACCCTAAGTTTACCTCTCACCACGCCTTGGCAAAGTGCCACTCCATGACGGTGGTTCTCAGCTGAGGGTGATTTTGCCTTAAAAGGGACATTTGGCAACGTATGGAGACATTTTTGGCTGTCACGACTGGGGAAGGGGTGCTACTGGCATCTAGTGGGTAGAGGACAGGGATACTGCCAAACATCCTACAATGCAGAGGACAGCACCCACAACAGTACCCAGTGCAAAAAGTCAGTAGTGCCAAAGCAGAAAAATCCTGTTCTGGAACTTCTGCTTATCACTCTAAGGACAAAATCACCATCTCAATCTCTTTTTTTTAAACAGATTTATTGAAATATAAATTCATATACCATAAAATTCACCGTTTAAAATATACAGCTTAATGGTTTTTAGTATTCACAGTTGCCCAGCTATCACCACAATAAATTTTGGAACATTTTTAGACTCTCTGCAAAAAGCCCTATACTCATTTGCAGTCACTTCCTATTTCCCCCAACAACACTGCCCTCCTCCCCCAGCCCTAGGAAACCACTGACCTACTCTGTCTCCATAGGTTCGCCTAGTCTGGGCATTTCACATGAATGGAATCACATGACACGTGGTCCTCCGTGCCTGGCCTCTTTCATCGAGTGTAACGTGTTTGAGGTTCACCCACATCAGAGCACGTGTCAGTGCTTCGTTCCTTTTTGTTGCCAAATACTATTCCATTGTACAGACACACCACATTTTAATTATTCACCCATCAGCTGACGGAGCACCTTAATGTTGTGGCCAGCTGCTGAGCAACCCCATCTCTGGGTATACTGAATTTATTGACCCTCTTCCCTCTGCGAGGCTTTGAGTTGTTTCCAACTTCCCACTGTTACAAACAAGTGGGTAGAACCTTTTACAGGATGGGTGTCCCTGCTCTGCCTACACATAGTTAGGTAAGTGCTGTTCTCAGGCCTATTTTGCGTCAGGGAAAACTGAAGTCCCCTCTAACCACCTGTCTACCTACAGAACAAACCCAGGGGCGTCACTTACTCCTCATCAGTCTGCACACAGTTATCAAGCTCGATCACGTGACTCCCGATGAACCAGACCAAATTGGAGAAGTAAGGGACAGCCGTTTTATCTCTGATATAGTGCAGCATGGCCTGATTATCCACTGAGAAAATTCACAAAAGAAAAGGAAAAAAAAGTCAAGCTACCAAAAATAACTTGGAAGATATTCTAATAAAACAAAACAACCACAATGAAAAAGCCCTCTGCTATAATCTGAAATTATCTGTCTTTCCTGGAAATACTTGAAAATGTTTATCTTATTCATAAAACTATACACATCAAGGCAGTTCTTATGTTATTTTTATAATTAATAAAATAAATTAGTTGGGCTAAACATTAATAGTGCATTGGAAAGCCTACTTAGCAGCAGTAGATTGAGCCAGACTACATTACAAATTACACCACTCTCAAGCAAGTTTCCTGTATTTACATGTAAGGATAAGTTAAGAAAGCGGAAAACCAGAGGTTAATAACTTACATGATACTGGAATAAGGAACACAGGAATCGTCATTGAAGGAAAGGCAAAAACAGACAACAGTTAACAGGGTTAGGAACTGGGAAGGCGAGGCAGCTGCTCAGGGGGTAGAGAGCTAGGGCCAGAGGCATCTAAACCGAAAGATGCAGGTTAAAAGAGAATGAGAAAAAGCAGCGTGCAGGAGGCAGTGCAACCAACTGTGGCTTGGACCAGGGTCGCAAACTTAGAAGCCTGCCAGGTTGGCTGGTGGCCCAGTAAGCGAAGCCAGCAGGCCCAGTGTGTGACCTGGGGTGCCTGGGCCTCGACCCCAAAGGGGGTGGCTGCTTCTCTGTGTCAGCTGACCCCTGCCCTGTAAGACTATAGGCCCAGAATAGCCAAATTTACATCTTCAAGTTAGAAATCCAGATTGTCACGCAAGATCTGCCAGTTTTTAAATATCGGCAACTATATATTTTTTCAAAAACCATATTAGCCAATTAAAACGTGTGAAGGCTGGATCCGGCCCTCGGGCCCTCAGTTTGCGACCTCTGGATAGGTCCAATTGGGCTCTCTGCAAGGCTCTTTAATGTAAGCCCAGGACTAGGCTGGCGTGAGTGCCTGAGGAACCGCCCCCCCCATTAGGGGTCATCTCAAGTAATAACATCTTGGCTCATGAAGGTCAAAGCCCTTCAATCCTTGAGAAAATGGGGTCCTAGCTCTAGTGTGATGACTACAGGGGAAATAAGCCGGGCATCAGGCAGAGAAATTCCAAGGCATCACCTTGGAGGGGCGAGTCCAGTTCAGGAAACCTGTGGCCCGCCAGCCTTAGTGGCAGTGCAGGTAGAGAGCCCTGCACTTTCTCCTGGAGGCAATCAATGTTTTGGGCATTAGGTACGTGTTGCAAGAAAGGAAGAATTTGTTAGCGCTAGGCTCTGCAGCCAGTTGGGAATACAATATTGCCCCCTGCTGTTCACAATGTGACATGCTTTTACACATTATTTAAAGTTTAAGGAAAAACTTACCCCCATGTATACTTAAGTATATTTTACAAGCCAAAACATAAAAATTTAAATCTAACATTTAAAAGACAACTTTGCTTTATCTAATTCTAACGTGGTCACTTGGAATCCCAGAGATGCCTCTCTTAGGGCATCCCACTTCCGTGCAGCAGCACCGAGCGAGACTTTATCATGCGCAGGAAGGCAAGTGATACAAAGACTTACGTGAGGGGCCGGCTAAATGGTCAATGCTTGCAAGACGTGCGTGAGACAGGCAGCCACGGCTTACAATAAACAAGCTCCCTAGTTGCTGTCAGAGAACCGTATGCACAGACACAGGATGCCAAGTTAGAAATCAGCCAAGGCATGCGCTCACAAGGAAACTTACCTTTATAGACATTCAAAGTTATTGTTCTTACAGCAATTCTAACCATGCTTTCAGGGTGGTTGAAAAATTTGATGGCTTCTGTGTACAGGGCAAAGTCATTGGTGTGCTAAAACAAAAGAAGTACCAAAAATGAGTTACAAACCTGTAAGCCAGGCCTGTCCCCAACCCAGCTTTCTGAATTCCAGCAGAGACTTCAGTAAAAGAAAAAAAAAATGTTGCCAATGCGAACTTTAAGTCAGTGGTTCATTCCCAGTGGACAACGTGGAAAGGCGGGAGGCAAAGCCATGGAAGAAATAGAAAAGAGTCCAGGGAATGTCAGACCTAGGTTCGTTTCCTGTTCCACCACTTCTAAGCTGTGTGACGCAATATTTCTAAGCCTCCGTTTTTTCATCTACAAAATGGGGATAATAACATCCACTTCACGGTTACTACAATTAAAAGAGATCATTTCTAGTCCCGTGCTTACTGTAGCACCTGACACCTAAGAAGCACTCAGTGTGACACAATTCTGACCAGTGAGATATGACGGGAAGTCTGGTGGGAGGCTTCTGGGAAAGTTTTTTTTGGAAGTTAAAAGGCGAATCAAAAAGGGAAGTGGTCTCATCAGGCATTTCAGAAGTGGCACTTGAGTATGTGATGTTGGGAGCTGCTGCAGCCAACTTGTGACCATGAGAGGCTGAACCCGAGGACAATGCCAATTGTATGGTCAGCAGAACAGGAAGACGGAAAAGCCTGGGTCCTTGCTGATGTGGTTGAGCCACCGGATGAACCAGCCCCAGCACAGCCAGTGTCCATACTTTTTGGTATGTGAGATAAATTGACCTCATTGTTCAAGCTTCTTTTAATTGTGAGAGCAACTGCAATTCATTTATTTAAGCTGCTAATAATTCTCCCAAGGAATGCCAGGGACATTAGCTTACAAAGAATAGCAATATCTGTGATTTTAGGGAGCCAGGTACATACTAGATGCTTTGAAAACATCATCTCATTTAATCTAACCCCTGAAAACCCTACAAGGTATATATTCTTATCCCCATTTCTCAGATGAGGAAACTGAGGCTCAGAGAGGAACTGGGACTTCCCTAAGGTCACACAGCAGGGAAGTGGCAAAGCCAGGCCTGAATGAAGTTCCTGTTTTTCCCATAGGGCAACACAACCCCAAAGCAACTTCTAGGCACTTCTCTCTGCCAAGTATAACGCTCTCAGCACAAATTGAATTTTACATTACAAATAGAAAGATAACTTGCTAAATATAAAAAAATGTTTTTAAAGCATGCCAAAGTCAAACAGTGTTGCTGTGAAAACTATGACAGTGGGCTTGTAAGTGCTTTGTAAACAGACACAAACCACCCAGATGGCGCTGCTACGACTGGTGTAGCTTCATATCCGAATGTGCCCTCTGGCAGTTACTCACCTCATTATAAAAAAAATGGACAGTGTGGTTGTTGAGCTTTAACGAAAGTGTTTTCAGGAATGATATATAATACGCCATGATCTCCTCGTCAGAAAAGTCGAATTTATGGACGATGATAGAATTTACATAGTTATTAGAGAGCAAATAATCTGGAGGGAGGAAAAAAACAAAGCAAAACAGACAGGTTAATTCGTGCCAGAGGAAAGATAAGCAAAGGATGTCAGGTAACAAGCAGACGACCATGTTCATGTACTTGAATCAGTGAAGCTTCTGGGTTGCTGGGATTAAACAAACTAACAGGGAGCGGCTTAACCTTTAACCAGCAAAGAAATCATCTACTATGCATAGTCACCAGAAAGTTCAAAGGCACTGCCAGAGAAAAGCCCTTCCCCTCCCTCCCACGCCAAATAGAAAAAGACACTCAAACATTTTCTTTTCATTACTACCAAAGTTCAGCAAAGAGCCAGGGGTGGGGAAGATTAGTCAGTGCCTGGGCATTTTCACAAACCACCCATGGATGAGGGTAAAAGGCACTGTGTTTTATAAAAAGCTGCCCCATTTTGCCATCACAAAGCACATCAACATCCCTGAATGCCACAAAGAGCTACACATGGTTTTTTTCTTCCTTAGATAGCGACTTGATTTCATAAAGGTCACTTTATGCTGAACCCCTATAACAGGCCTGGCACCAGGCTGAGCGCTCTACATTATCATCATCTTTCATTTTGCAGATGAGCAAAAACAGCTCGGAAAGGTCGATTAACTCGCCTAAGGACACAGAGACAGTAAGTCACAGAGAAGGGATTTGAACTCAGGCCTGACGTCAGAGCTTGTGTTTGTCACGCACTAATGGGGGCCGACAATGGAAACTGGGTGATGAGGGCCCGAGGGCCCTGGGTCCAACTGGAGAGCAGTCCCCACTTCCCAGCTCCCAGCCCCCGGCCCTGTGGAAATGTAGGCCCAGCACGGCGAGAACTTCCAACCACGGAAGAGAGGCTGGAAACCACAGATTTTCATGTTGCATCTCCAGATCTTGAAATGTTCACCACTGGATAAACTAGTTTTTAAAGCTGTGCTGGCCAGCAAGAGCAAATCTATTGACAGCTGCAGCCTGTGGCCTGCGGCTGTAAGTCTTGGTGTTGACCCCTTGCTGGGCACGTTCCCCTCTTGAGTTCTCACCAGCCACTCAGCAAAGCAGGCACCTCGGTCCATTGTCTGTCCTTTGGGCTGCCGGTGTGCACCAGATCTCCTGCCTCCCCACAGAAGGTTAAAGGCGGAACGTGATCGACGCCCGCACTACGGGTGAGGCAGCAGAGTGGCGTGGTTCAGGGCTTCGCTACTCAGTGTCTGGTCCTCGGACTGGCAGCACAGCATCCCCTGGAGCTTGTCAGAACAGCAGCATCTTGGGCCCCAACCCTGACCTAGACAGAGTCAGGTCTGTGTGTGTAATAAGCCTGCAGGGCTCCCCACGCATGCTGGTGTTCGGGAGGCACTGGGTTCAAATGTGGACTTGGACCCACCTGCCTGCGTCCACATCTCACCTCTGCCACTTCTAGCTGTGCGACCTTGGGCAAGCTGCTGACCCTGCCCACTCCCCAGTTTCCTTGTCTAGAAAACAGAAGAACAGTACCTTCCTCGCAGGGCTGTGGTAAGCACTAAAGGAGATGATGCACAAAAAGCACTCAGGACGGTATGGGGCACAAAGTAAGCACTCCGTAATGTCAGCTGCCATTATTCTTATTACTATTACTGGACATTCAGAATCTAAACTACCATATTCCCAGGATTGAACACAGCTGCTCTTGCGTAAGTAGGAAATTAACCATTAAGTTGTTTGGAGCCAACAAGGTACCTAACTTAGGTCAAAGTATTTTTTTTTTCTTTTTTTTTTTTGGAGACAGAGTCTTACTCTGTCACCTGGGCTAGAGTACAGTGGCATCATCATAACTCACTGCAACCTCAAACTCCTGGGCTCAAGTGATCCTCCTGCCTCAGCCTCCCAAGCAGCTACAGGCATGCGCTACCATGCCTGGCTAATTTTTTCTATTTTTAGTAGCGATGGGGTCTGGCTCTTGCTCAGGCTGGTCTCAAACTCCTGACCTCAAGCGATCCTCCCACCTCGGCCTCCCAGAGTGCTAGGATTACAGGCGTGAGCCACTGCACCTGGCCAATCAAAGTATTATTGAAGTACATTTGGAATCACCAAAAACAACATGAGGAGCCATCTAGGAGTTTAGGACAGTGACAGAAGCCACGGCATGGGCCCAGGAAAGGGTCCTCCTTGGAGGCTGGTTCTCTGGGAAAGCCACTGTGCATGCCCTGAGCAGGCTGGCAGACAGGCGTGTGGTCTGCAGTCTTAGAAGAATGGTTTTCAAAATCTCCTGATTATAACAATTCCTGAGGCAGCTCCTGGGGCCTGTTCCAAGGGAGGAGTCAGTGGGTCTGGAATGGGGTCCTAAGAGTCTTAATGTTTTTCAAAATGAGGTTACATATATCACAAATTCTAAGTGTACAGTGTGATATATGTGGAAATATGCATATATATGCACTTTAAGTACACGTACATGTGTCTTTTCATATACATACGTACACCTCACAAACCCAAGGCACCCACCTTGGAATTTTTACATTTACACACGCTGCGCCAGCGCCGCCCAGATCAGACGTGTGGCCTTCCCAGCTCTCCAGAGGGCCCCTCACACCCCTGCCCAGTCAGTACCCCTGCCCCAAGGGCAACCCTATTCTCACGTCTATCACCCCAGACCCATTTTGCCTGCTCTTGAACTTCACAGTACGCCTGCGCCCTGGGTCTGGACTCTCTCGCTCCTCCCCACATCTGAGGGTAATACCTGTTGCTGCGTGTATAATGGTAGAAATATATTTTTTCTTTTCCTTTTTTTTTGCTATATAGTATTTCATTCTCTAAATAGTCCACAATTTATTTATCCACCTAGAATCTAACATGAAACATGCATCCCGGGTGATTCTGATACGAGGAGCACTTCTTTCTCATTTTGCGTCATTCTGGCTGTGGCTAGGGGCAAGTGGGGAGGGGTAGTGGGCTGACAGGAGAAGGCACTGTTGGGATGTCTCGTTGAGCCCTGTCGTGACTAGTTAGTGGCTTCCGGGCCACCAGCAGCACAGACGCCTATGCTAGGTGCTCAGACGTGCAACAGCGAGTCTCTCGGCTGCACTCTGGAGCTGGGACAGCCACAGGCTCCAGCTACTCCCCAGCAGGGACTTTTCCAGGGCCTCCAAGAGATTACTCTGTGGGTGGCAGGGGACCACATGGGGGCAGTGGCGGTGCCTCTATTATTGGGCTGGGATTTTTCTGCTACCCCCTCGCTGTGTGGCTGACTTTCTGTGGTGTCCTTTTCTAATAAACCCGGGAGTCTGTAAGTAATCTCAGTCTCTCGGGACGCTATCACTTAGGTCACCAAACCCAGCAGGCAACAGGTGCATTTGTGAAATAGCTGTTTGTAATAGTGAAAAACTGGAAACCACCTAAATGCCCACGGTCAGGTTAAATAGATTATGGCACAGCAAGACACAGCTCTTGAGCCCAATCAGGCAGGGTTACGTGAAGGGACAATGAGAAGATTGGGAGGGTGGGAAAAAAAAAGCAAACAGCAAAATGATTTGTGTACAATGAACCATTTAGGCAAGATTCAATGGAAATTTGACTTTCTATATTTCTCTAATGCTTGGCTTACTGTTACTGTTTTACAATAAGGACACCTTCTTTCTATGAGAAAATAAAAATTAAAACAAAGGTCATCTATCCTCCTCACCCCTTGCAAATCCAAGTTCTGTACACAAGCCACGATTCCTGCTCTTTCTGCAGGGCTTATAAAGGCACCCTGGTGAACTGTCCGTGAAGCAAGGGACATCTGCCCGGGTTTCTCACAGTGGGGAACCCTTTTTGGTCCCAGTACAAGAAAGGCCACGCATGCTGCATGACCTCACTTATATGTAGGATCTAAAATAGTCAAACTCATAGAAGCAGAGAGTAGTGGTGGTCTCCAGGGGCTGGAGGGAGGGGAAACAGGGAGATGTTGGTCAAAGGGTACAAAGTTTTAGTTACGCAAGATGAATACGTTCTGGAGATCTAACGTACAGCACGGTGACTACAGCCAACGATACTGTATTACATACTTGAAATTGGCTAAGAAGGTAGACCCCAGTATTTCCACTGCACACACACACACAAGGTAACTATGCGAGGGAATGGGTATGTTAATTATTTGATTGTGGTGATTATTTCACCATGTATACATATACCAAATCATCAAGATGTACACCTTAAATATACACAATAAAAAAGAGAAAAGCCATGCAACCGTCATTCAGAGAAACCCTCTAAAAGCCAGAATTCTGACTGCCCCAACCCCCATCTTTAGTCCAGCAGCCCTGTGCCTAGCTGGGGAAAGGGTCACCAGAGAAGAGCCACTGAGGGTCTCCAATAAGTGACAGCCCCGACACCATGGGCACGTACCACCTGCCAGACCCCATGCTAAGCTCTGCACACCTGCTCTCACAACTACTCCTCAAGCCCTCTACTCCCCAGCTACTACCATCTCCACTTAACACAAACAGGGAGCGTGGACCTGCTTCGGTCTGGCCAGGGGCCTGGTGTGGTCTGAGTTCAGGGCCTGTGCCCCTGAGCTGGAGCTTCCCCACTCAGTTTCCAGAAACTGCACTTCTTTCAGATCCAGCGAAACAGGAGCTAGTATTAAGGGAAGCCACTTAGGGAGACAGGAGTCAGCCCGCATTTCTCAATTCGCGGTCTGTAAGGCGTTTCCAAGGCAGCAGCACCACCTGGTGGCCACTGCCGAGAGCCACCACCCAGCAGCTCCTTCCCCTCCCTCTCCTCATAGGGAGGGATGCCCCCATCTCTACCTCCTTCCATGCACTGAACATATTTTTCCAACCTGTCCTGGAGACCTAGAGCCTCCCTCTGATATAGACATTTGGCCACTGGCCTCTCCCGTAGTTCCTATGGGCAGGGCCAGAGGCTTAGCAGAGTCATCTTGGAATAATAAAGCTAGTGGTGAAGCACGGAGGATTAGGAGCTAAACCAGAGTTTCTCAACTTCAGTGCTGTTGACATGTAGGGCTGGATAACTCTTTGTTGTGGGGTCCTGTCCTGCGCACTGTGGAATGTTTAGTAGCATCCCTAGCCTCTATCCCCTAATGCCAGTAGCACTCCCAAGGATGTCTCTAGACATTGTCAAATGTCTCCTGGGGGCACATGCACCCCCAGTTGAGGACCCCTGAGCTAAGTTACTTGGAATGAAACTCCTTCTCTATTCTGGCCTTGTCACCTTGGGCCAGTGACCCAAACTTTCTTGGTGTTAAAATGAGGACACCAACAGCACCTGCCTCTCAGGGCTGCTCGTTACAGATAAAGAAAAACCAGGGCTTAGTGAGGGCAGGTATTATAATAAGCTCAGGGTCACACACTACTAGTCGTGCAGCAGGACTGCAGCAGGAGAGGCAGGTGCCAAAGCCCACACCCTTGCATGCTCTTTGGTCAAGTTCTTCCTCACTCTGCTTCTTCTAAACCTTATTCCACGGGCTCATTATTCAGCAACCCCAACTCTTTAATATCACATCATAAAGAAGAAATGCAAATACCCCAGAATCGTTCAGCAGAGGGGAACCCTCTCTTAGCGCTCATAGTACCCCACCACACAGAGATAAACACAGTGTTAGGGACTGAGTTGTGTCTGCCCCAAATTCAGATGTCGAAGTCCTAACCCTCATTGTGACTACACTTGGAGACAGGGTCTTCAGAGAGGTGATTACAGTTAAATGAGGTCAAAAGGGTGGGGGCCCTTATCTGATAGGACCGGTAAACCTATACGGAGAGGAGACACTAGGTATCTCTCTGTCCCTTTCCACTCATGCACAGACAAGACGGTGGCCATCTGCAAGCCAGGAAGAGCCCTCACCAGAAACCAACCCTGGTAACAGCTTGATCTTGGACTTCTACCCCCCAGAACCATGAGAAAACAAATTTCTGTTGTTTAAGCCACCTAGTCTGTGGTATTTGCTAGGACAGCCCAAGCAAACTAATATGCAAAGTAAGCACAGACATACAAAAATCACACCAAACTACACCCCGCTCATGTCCAGCGGTACAGAGGCAAACGTCGAGGAATGTCCTTACAAAGGGAGGTCTCGTGACTGATGTTCTCAAAGAGGATATTCAAGGTCTGCAGCAGCTGAACACACACGTAACGGCCTGATTTCTGCCGCAGGATGTTCAAGAAGAAAACAAACATATTCTTCTCCAGGAAGAAGCTGGGGAGAGAATGGGAAAGAGTCAACGGTTTGCTTCCACATGTGGAAATCAAAATCAGCCTCTATTTACGCGCATACACCCGCCTCCGACCAAAGGCACCCGCGGATGCCAGATCACACCACCCACGTGGCCTCAGCTTCCACGCCATCCAGTTCCCAAAAGGCCATCTCCCATCATGGCTAACACGCAACCCCTCAACTCTCTTCCCAGAATAGAGCAGTGCCGATTCCGGGAAACACTGAACCAGATTTCTGACAGCACAGGAAAGATCTTTGCAGACTAAATGATCACACAGTAATCTATGATTGTAAACCCAACAAGCTGCATCTTCCACCAAACAGTTTGTATCCTTAGTTTCCCTTAGTAATAAGCCTCTTTCCTTGGCTCTTTACATCTTTGCATGTTAAAAAAAAAAACAACTGGAATTCTCTGCAAAGGGATAAGATATTGCTGAATATGAATAGTTTTGGTCCCCAAACTTTCAAGTTTGTAGTTTCCTATCTGGGGGAAAGAAATACACAGGTGCTGATGTGGTGGGGAAACCCTAGCCACTCCCCAAGTCTGCTTCTGCCTTTTTTGTTCTGGACAGCACACGTGTCTGTACACAGCCTGGGGGCACCGGCTTTTGGGGGTACACGTTAGCTCTTTTAGTCTTAAAAAAGAAATAGAACCCCCTAATGTCTTTCTTTAAAGGAAGAAAATTATGTTTCTTGTTACGTGTTCTCTGCATTCAAGCTAAGATGTGATAATCTCTCATTTGGTATACTCAGAAGAAATCCCTGGGGCTGGGCATGGTGGCTCACGCTGGTAATCCTAGGACCCTGGGAGGCTAAGGTGGGAGGATGGATTGAGGTCAGGAGTGCAAGACCAGCCTGAGCAAGAACAAGACCCCACTGCTACCAAAAATAGAAAAAAATTAGCTGTGCATTGTGGCACATGCCTGTAATCCCAGCTACTTGGGAGGCTGAAGCAGGAGGATCACTTGAGTCCAGGAGCTTGAGGTTGCAGTGAGCTACAACTGAGGCCACCACATTCTAGCCCAAGCAATAGAGCAAGACTCTGTCTCAAAAAAAAAATAAAAAAAGAAGATGAAGAAATCCCCAAAGTCACATGTGCCTGCTGGTTGACTTGGTTTTGGGTGCCTCATCTACCATTGCCACGGTGGTGGGATCACAGGCCTGGCACTTGCTCAGTGCTGCATAATTCCTCTTTGAATCGACGAAAGGGTAAATGAATATGACCTAAAAAAGACCCCTAAAATCTTTTCTGACTCTGAGAGCCAGTCTGCCTATGAATACCATTCACACTGACCTCCAGAGTATTTCTGTCATTTGACCTATTTTGTCTACCTTCACTTTAGCTTGTATAAGTCAGTGACTCCCAAGTGCCACCAACAAACTCACTGCTGCACAGTGACCAACTCGGGAACTTGTTAAATTGTCTATACCTAGGATCTTGCCCCAGGGATTGATTCAGTAGGTCTAGCGTGAAATCCACGAGCCTCAATCTTTAAAAACTCCCTAGGGGAGTGGAGCAAGAAAAACTTAGAAAAAAGGTTGATTCTAGGGCTGGGCAGGGAAAATATAAGAAGAGCCTGGAGCATCTTATAATACCAAGAAGTCAGAAAGTGCTCAAAAGGACCAAAGTTTGTCAAAGGGACACAGGAATCAACATGAAAGAGCTCCCCCAATAGCCAAAGCTAAAACAATTTGAGCATCAAAATAAATAACACAGTATTGGATTATAACCCAAAGTATAAAATAAATATCCGTGAATCCATATCAATATAGATAAATGATTGCATAAATACAATGAATAGGAGAAAAGAGACAAATCTTGCATGTAGAAGAATTTCAAATAATAATATATGTACTCCTGGCTTCTGGAAGGTAGAGCCTAATTCCCACCCCCTCACCTTGAAAAGGTGGGCTAGACTTAGTGACGGTCTTCTAAGGAACAGCACAGGGGAGGGGAAAGAGTAACTTTATAGGAGAGAAACCTGGCAGACATCACCTTTACCAGGTGTTGAAGGTTAACAGCACCAGGGATGTCACATGGACATCAAGCGTGCCCTGCCAATCAATGATGGCATGAGAGGGGAACTTCCCCTCTCCAGCAATCTCCCCTGTAGGCCTCAATTTAGTCAGGAGAAAAACATCAGACAAACCCAGATTGGGGGACAGGAGAACTGGCTAGTATTCCTGAAAACTGTCAAGGTCACAAAAACAAGAGAAGACTAAGAAAATGTCACAGACCAGAGAAGACTGGTGACATGTGATGGCTAAATGCACTGTGGGAGCTTGGATGCGATCCTGGGGCAGAAAGAGGATGTTAATGAAAAAACGGGCAAAATCCAAACCAAAGCTGGAGTTTACTTAATAGTGACATGCCAATGTCAGTTTCTTATTTTTGACAAATGCACCCCAGTAATATATTAATATTTACAACAGGGGAAACCAGGCGAAGCGTATATGGGAACTTTCTGTACTATCTTTGCAACTTTTCTGTAATCTAAAATTATTCCAAAATTGTAAGATTTATTAAAAACAAAATTTTCTTGGGGACTCCACTGGGCAGCTATTTAAAAATCACGGAAACTCTAACAGCTCAGTAGTTTTTTCTAAGGTTACAGATGGACTAAGTCCATTCTAGTCAAGGGGGACACAGTTTCTAATCTTTAACCCAAGTATATTTCTCATTTCCAATAACAAATTCAAACACAGAAATAAATAAATTCCTCATGGATCCTTAAAGGAAGCTAGTCCCATTTGTAAGCAACACCTTCCTTTACTACTCACGTGTTTTCCTTAGGGGATCATAGCCAGTATTCACAGGTTTGCATTTTAAGGAGCTTGCATTTTCCACAAGTAGTTTATTAGATAACCTAACTGATGAAAGCATAGACCTATCATGAAAATCAATTCAGGATATCTAATAAGAAGCCAGGCTGGAAATGGAACACCTTTACTTTTTAAAAATGGGTTTTAAAAGTGGCCTCAATATTTATAATTGAGAATATAGACACATATGAAATCTGTGTTTGGTGGTTGCTATAACCCAATCCCAGACCCTCCTGCACTGAGATACCAACACAGGTCTATTAGGGAGGTAGCCCATGGCTTTACAGCCTTTGCTTTTCGACCACCCAGTAGACACACCTGTCTTATCACTTGCTGTCATTTATTGAGTGCCTACTCTGTATCAGGCACAGCCAGGGAACTTTTCCTCTCTCCTTTGAAGATGAGGAAACTGAGGCTCAGGGAGATAAAGAGCCTGGCCTAAGACTGCTCATCTAGGAAGTGCAAGAATTCAGGGAAACCACTCTTGGACTCTGGGTGTGGGCCACTGTTTCACTGCTTACCAGCCTTGTGACCTTGAGTAAAAACGGGGACACCAACAGGGTTTGCCCCCGGGCAGGTGGGAGACTTAACTGGATTGTCTCATCAAGAGCTCAGCACTGTGCCTGACCATCAGTAAACACAGTGACTGGGGACCCTCGGTGACTCCCCCAGGGGAGGGTCCTGTCTGTTCACAGAGAATCTAACCACCCAGGACATTTTCTCCTTCCTTTGGGGAAATAATCAGACACTACTTGGAGGAAAATTACCCATGACACTTTCAGGTTTTCTGGAGAAACTCATTTCCATATCTTCCCCATTTTTGGCTTGCATTTCTACAATGTCTCAAGGACATTTTTTACAGATAGATGGATAGAGACAGATATCTGGGCAAGACCAAATTAGCGTCAAATCCTGACATCATCAGGAATGACTCACAGTATACATTTAGAAAAACATTCAAAGGAAGAAGAATCGAAAAACAAAGAATCATTAGAAACCCTTACTCAAACACAGAGCTGTCATTTTGATCCCCCCAAATCAGGATCTCGGTGATGGAGCGGATGGTCTCTACTAGCAGGTTCCGGTTCTGTTCAGTGACTGTGGTGTTTTTGGTCAAAACGTGGTACAGATACCTGAGAGGAAGGAGAGAAAAAGAAATTAAAGATTACCAATTGAAATGAAAGTCGAGCTCAATGACCATTAGCAACATTTTGGAGACAACACAGCAGCACTTCTTCAGTTAGCGCAATTTCCCATTCAGATTAGACATAACTCACCACCCAAGAAAAGTGGCAGACAATGCTTGGGAGCATGAAACAACCAGAGACACACCAACCCAAACTGAGACAAGACAATCACCAAGCCCTTGAAGAGGGCTATTCTCAAACGTTAGTGTGCAAGAGAATCGTCTGTAGAGCTGGATGAAGTTGGGGCTACTGGAGCCCCTCAGACATTCAGATTCCGTAGGACTGAGGGAAGAACAGGCGTCAGCCTGTTTCACATGCTCCCTGGGGATTCTGATGCCAGTGGAACAAGTGGGGACTATGGCTCAGGGCCAAACCCAGGACCCACTGCTGAGATTTGGAGCTGGAGCCACAGCTTAAAAAGGGTGGGTCCCAAAGCCAGTGGCTGGGACAAAAATTATGTGCCATCCAGATTCCCCTTGGAGTGCCCATAACCGCCTCCTGAAGTGCCACATGCCCATCAGAACGTATGGCTCAAATGAAGTTTGTGGTTTGCAGTCCGGGGCAACCGTCTTATTTGCTTAGAACAGATTGTTAAATTCAGAGTTAAATGGGCTAGAGAGGCTATGATACCACACTTCACCCATCCAAAGGCCTGGGAGCCAGCGTTGGGGTAGAGATGGGAAGACACAGTCCAGTCCTCAAGAGCTCTGCTGGCAGTGGGGGAGACCAAAAGTATCATCGAAGCCGGTCCTGACTAGGGAGGGGACCAGAGCCTGGCTGGATGCCCTGAGAGTGCCACCTGACACAGCTTTTAAGACACTCCTCCAGGGCCCACAGATCCAGGTAACTTCTCCTGCCAAGGGAGCCTCAGGCTTGGAAAGGAAAAGAAGACACCCAGAGGAAGTGACTCAGGAAAAGTCATCTCCTGATTTTGTTTATGGCCATCTTCAGTTTTGGGCGGCGGGGAGAAGGGCCGGTGAGAGCAAGGCAGGGAAAGATGAAATGGGATCATTCCATCTACAATCTCTAAAAACAGGTGAGATATGAAGAGGTAGAACATGCAGAAGGAACAAGAAGGAGCGGTCTGCTGCTTTAGGGGGCTGGGGTTTAGCTAATACTGTTGCTGGTCTATTTTAAAGACAATATAATCAAGCATTTAATTAACTCATCAGAAATGGCATGCAATTTTTAACATGCAATAACTAGAATATCCCTCCAAAAACATAAATCCTCCACCATTTGTGCCCAAATCTATGGACAGGGCTGCATGTAGGAGCACGAGCCAAGTTGCCCTCTGTGATACGGTAACTCTGCAGCACTTGAATCACGCTGGGATGAATCGCAGGGACACCCGCTCATAAATCTGTGTGTCTGCATCTCGCCTCCAGTGCATCTTCCCCAAAATACTCGAGGGCAGAGTTTTTCAAATTGAGGTTCACAAGCCTTCTGCATTGGAATCACCTGTTTAAGCTGCTCCCTACCCCACACCCTGACTTTTAGGTACAGGGCCCCAATCCCACTGAAGTTTGACAGCCACTGCACCATGCCAGCGGTGGCTACCAGAGACATTCTCCATGCAGTCCACAGGATGCCTGACACCCTGCTGGGGACAAGGCATTGCTGGTAGTGTGGGGGAGGGGCAGATGCTCCCTCACTCTGGAATTTTCTTCTGTGTAGAGGATGACATCCATTAGCATCACACTCCTGGCCCAACGGGAGGCAGTGGCCTGGGTGAGTGAGTCTGCTCTGCAGACTTCCAACAAGGACAGGAGAGTTTAAAATCTTTAGGACCAGGTCTGACTTCAACTGTCTGGGCTTTCTGCCTAGAATGCCCTTGCTGCCCTCACTGAATAGCAAACTCTTACTCATATTTCAAAACTCAGCTCAGGCATCTCTTGGTAAAGCCTTCCTTAGAGAAGGCTTCTCCTCCCTCAACCCCACCTCGGGACTGCAGAGACCACCCTGATTTTCAATGACCTGCCTCTCTTACTAGACCTGAGTTCCTCAAGGTCAGTACCATCATCTTATTGCTCTTGGTGACCCCAATATATTAATACTCCAAATGTCTGATACACAGCAGGTGCTCAACACATGCTGGATGGGGCAGGGGACGGTCTTTATGAACACCGTTAGATCAGAGCATCATAGACTGAACACAGCCAGGGGTACAAGCGCCACACGCACAAGTGACAGCACAGAACTGTGGTGAAGAGTTCAGGTTCTGGAGTCTGTCAGACTTGGGCTTGATCCCTGGCGCTGCCACTTCCTCACTGTAGCGCTGGACAAGGCACTTCACCCCTCTGCAGCTCAGATTCTACAAGATGGTGTTAACAGTTGAGGCCTCCTCACTGGGAAGTTCCAGAGGTCAATGTGATAACACACAGAGAGTGCCAAGCATGGCGCCTGCAACTGACCCTTACTCAACAGCGGCACGGTCAGCTGCTATTATTATCCTGTGGTCATTACAATGCAGGCCATTAACATCCTTACTGCATTATACAGACTATTCCAAGAACGTACGAAGGAGAGATCAGGCTGGATCTAAACAGGGAAAGAGCACCTCAGGGGAGGAGTTGTGATGGGAAGGTCCAGAGAAACCAGAGCAGTAATTGGAAAGTCTGGGTTATTTTCTGAGAGGCACTAGAGAACATGGGTTCATTAGACACTGGTGCTAGAATGCCAGGGTCTGAGCACATCTCCATCACTTATCATGAACAGCTGCGTAAGCTTAAGCAAGTTAGTTCATCTCTATGCACCTGGTATCTCACCTATAAAATAGGAGCAGCAATAGTACCTACTTTTGTATTTACCTATTACGGTATTGTTAGGAGGAATAAACACGAGACAGATAATTAAACTGGCAGTTACTATGTATGATACAAGTGCTAGATATTATAATATTATTGTTGCTTTCATTAAATAGTCTCTAGAAGACAATCCTAGTAACTGCTACAAGGCCCTTACAGCAACGATAAATAATGAAAGGCCAAGGTAGTAAGACCTGAAAAGATTCTAGGAGCTCCCATGTGCCTGGCTATGGACGAGGGCTTCACATGACCTTCAGACTCACAGCAATCGGGGATGTGCACGTTGTTACCACTGCACAGGACAAGACAGCAGCTGAGGCTTGGGGAGGCTCAGTAGCCCACCCAAAGCCCTGTGGCATGGTCTGAGAATTCCATCCATTCCACGGCCTGTCCAATACTGGTGTTCTTTGCTTTTTTCAGTGGACCCATTCTGCTGGGTGTATGGTGACACTGCGGAGGGATTTATTGCATGATGACTAATGAAGTTGGGTGCCTTTTCATACATGTTTATGGACCATTTGAAAATCTTCTTAGTGAGTTGCCTGAGCAAGTCTTTTGTCCATTTTTCATTAGTCTGAATGGCTTCTTATTTATTTGATGGAGTTCTTTATACATTCTGAACACAAGTCCTTTGCTGGATATACATATTGCAAATATTTTCTCTGACTGTGGCTTGCCTTTTTACTCTATCCTGGTCTTTTGAAGAGCAGAGGTTCTTAACATTAATACAGACCAATTTATCAATCTTTTCTTTGGATAGTGTTTTTTGAATCAAGCTTAAAAAATTCTTACCGACCCCAAGGTCATGAAGAAATGCTGTGTGAACTAAAATAAAATCCTAAGCCCTACTCTGACTGAACAGACCCCCCCCTCTTGGCCAAGGGGAACCCAGAGAAACCTTAAAACTGAGATTCCAGCCACGACAGGATGGGAGGTCAGACACACCTCATTACACCCCCTCCCTTGCTAATGACCATCAGGCTTTTTTTCTTCATGGGCCAAACAGAAATTAATTTCATGATCTACTCCTCCCTATTTGCAGTTTCAGCACTACAACTAAGCAGCATTCTTTCCTAATAAGAGCCCACCAACCACGGAGTGGTTTTAAGCAGTCTACGGAGTAGGCACAGTAAGGGTTTTTGTGTCCTTGCTTCACCTTTTGACATCAGAGGGCCCCTAATTTTCTGAACATGGACCCCATAATGGAGTATAAAGCTCAATTGCACATGTGCATGTTTCTCCTTTGATAAATATTCATGACTCCTCCTATAGCTTGTTAAATATGTGTATTTGGCCACCCCGCTCAGCATAAATTCCTCTTCCCGTTGTCCCTGCATTAAAGCACACATTCCTGGTTTCTGGGAGGGCAGGGGGAGTTCTGCTTCCTAGCCAGTCAGAAAGGCCACCATAGGCTGCAATCCTTCATGAGAAATAAAGCTCTCCTTTTCAAATTTATGAACCTCCTCATTTTCTTCAGTTAACATCTGTTTTCTTCTAACACAGTTATTGTTTTACCCTTCACATTTTAACTTAGAGTACACCTGGAACTAATTTTTGTTTATGGTGTGAGGTATTGGCTGAAATTAATTTTTTCTATATGGAGATCTAGTTGACCCAGCATCATTTACTAAAAGGCCCTTGTTTCTCTACTACACTCCACGTCACCTTTGTCATTAATCAGGTGACACGTGCGGGCCTCTTTAAGGCTGCTCTAGTTACATTAATCTGCTTGTCTACCCTTGTGCCAACACTACGCTAATTATTGCAGCTTTATAGTATCTTGCCATGTGGTAATGTAAGTCCTCCAGTCTTTCCTTCTGTTTTCTCAATATTATACTTACTATTCTTGGCCCTTTTAATTTTTGTATACATTTAAAAATCACTTTGTCAATTTCCACAAAAATACCTACTAAGATTTCCTTTGAAGTTGCCCTAAATCTATAGCTAAATTTGGAAAGAATTGCATCCATCTTTACAATAGTGAAACATTATATTTCCAGCATTTTTTTTTCCATGTTTACCGAATAGGGGTCTTGCACAGTTTTTGTTACTCCTGGGCACTGATGTTTTTTAATGCTATTATAAATGATATCATTTGCAATAGTCACCTTCTAAATATCTGTTGTTGATATATAGAAA